TCACTAATGTCAAGTGAGGAGGAATCGATCGCCGTTAACATGAGGTGACCTTTACCACACCTGCGTCAATGGCAAATCAATAACAAAGTATATGCCAACAACAAGAGAACATCAAGCATGGCTATTACATGTGAGTATCACCAATCAAGTTCCGGTTTTAATCATATGTTAACCGTGAAAAACAAGAGAAGCCTTCTCGCAACCAAGTCATACTTGACTCTTGCAAAACGTGAGAAATATACACGTCTCAAGTATATACAAGACATAAGACAAAATAATCAACGATCATTCATAAGTCCGAAAACGGTCCAAGCAAACCATATCACAACGCATCTCATCTTCTTTTCCCGACATTAGGGAATTCATTTACTCTACTCGACAAGGCAAGATTTTATGGAAACCAAATAGTGACGTGAGAATGAAGTGGTGATTGGCGTGAGCAAAAGGAAAGTGGCGTGAGCAAGAGGAAGAACCGGCTGGTGGGTAGGCGTGTGAGAAAGCGTGAGTGATGTGAGAATGAGAGATGAAAAAGGAAGAAGAGATGGTGCAAGGTAACTAGGGGGGACCAAGCCTATTTATAGGCAAACCCAACTTGCTCACCAAGTTAAGAGTCAAAACTTACTCCTCAAGTTCTTGACTCTCTAGAATCTTCCAAGCTCTCATAATTCACTCGCCACATGGTCCAATCACCTTCATTCAAGTGTCACCTATAATTAAATGAAATCTTATCAAATATTAGGCCTAATAATTTGAGTGTCTAATTGACTACCAAGTGTCATACTAAGGTTATAATGCCCTAAGTTACAGTACATGAGTCACTCTATATATTAAATTCCAAGAGGACACCTAAGCCCGTACATTAATGTCTATAGGGACATATAAGCTATTCATGAAGAAAAGACAAATGTCATGATGAAATTGTCCATAAAGTCTAATGCCATCATTATCTAGATCTTGAAAATCTTGACTATTAATGAAGAAGAGCCAAAAGACCATGATGAAATGGCCTTGAAAGTCTTAGCCATTAATTTGGCTTCATGAGCAAGATTTAATTCTAGTCATATAATCTAAGCTTGGGCTTTAAGTTTTAATCTGGAGTTCAGATGACATATAGGAGCAATTAAGATCCTAAAACTTGGTCCTCAAGTTGCAATTGGCCCTAAAGTCTAAGCTTTATAATTAAGCTTCTTGTGCAAGCCTTTAATTTGAGGCCATTCATTTCCAACTTGGCCTCCAAGTTCTACCTTAGGGTCATTATGCCCTATTCATTCAAGGCCTAAATAAATCATGATGATCATTCTTTCTCTCTCTCTTTGGCCGTGAGCCATCTTGCTAGGCGTGAATGATGGTCTTGATCCTCAAGACTCAATTATAGAAGCCTTCCAGAAGAACACATTTTAGCTTCTGCCACCATATGTAAAGCCTCATTTCCCCTTTCATATGATCTCCAATCAAAGTGTAACATATCTCAATTGACATCCTCAAATTCGACCCTATTCGGAATGTAATGAAATGATGATTTTAATCGATGCACTATTAGTAATTCTCGCTCTGAATTGATCACTCATGAGAGACTAACCGATTAGGAAAGGCTGTTAAGGAATTAAGTACGCACGACCTGATAACTCGATCAGGGATTGACAATTCGACCATAAGGATTGACGAGGGACAATTTTGAGCCATTATAGACCGATCAAGGGATGGTTATAGAATGATTCGCCAATAGCATACAATCGGATCGCGGGTGATTCCGCTTGACCGTTGTATGTATTGCGAACGATCCTAAACCCATTGACTGATGATCGCGTACTTTGGAACTAGCGATTGATCCCTCGCAATTACATGACAATCGAGATCATCCATGGTTCGAGAAAACTTAAACGTGGTTTGATACCGAATCAACCACGGGTCGAATTCGCGTAACTCCTAAAAGCCGCCCGTTAGTTTGAGATATACTAAAGTCGCAATTGATTGATTTTTACCACGAATTATAATCCGAATTTGGATGTCGAATCTTTGAGGATTTCAAAACAAAATTATTGGACACCGCCTCATTGATTTGCTCGTTTATCGGTTTACTCGAAATTCTCGGAAAAGGATTTAGCGGGTCGAGAATTTGAGCCCACGAGGAAGTGGGCCGGATGAAGGCACATTGGGCCTCAAGCCCAATGTGATTCGGCCACATGGGCCCAAGGGAAACCCAAGTGGCCCAATTTAGCCCATTGAACCCAATTTCAAGCCCGATTTCAATTCAAGCCCAAGTTTGAGCCCATTAGCATTTTCAAGCCCATTCATAATCCGTTTGAGCCCAAATTTGATTATACGAGCCCGTACGAAATTCTAGCTCGTATACGCGTATAAGTATTTTTATACTTTGTGAAATTACCAAAATACCCTTCTAGCTTTTATGACAAAGAAACAAAGGCATTTAAGAGAGAGAAGACTTTTGTGCATTTTTGAATGATGAAAGAAGACTTTGAAGGCTTGTCTTAAATGAGAGAAATATCTCTCTTTTGTCTCTCTTTCCCCACTCTCTCTCTCATTTCACGGCCACCCCCTCCTCTCTCTTTTCTATCTCTCCATTTTCCTCTCAATTTTCACTCTTCTTCCCCCTTTTCTCCCTTTCTCGGCCAAACCAAACAGAAACAGCCTTTGGGCTGCTGTTCTTGCTGCTTTACGCCACCACTGAACCACCAGCAGCTCGCCGTGTTCGCCTGGAGCCGCACGCCGCCCGTTCAAGCCTTTTTCCGCCGCCGGTTCAAGCCGCCGAGCCAAAAACAGCCGTCCCAAAGCTGCTGTCCAGCCGAGACCCAGTCGTCTTTCCGTGTCAATTCCGGACCGTGCAAAGCGTAGCCCTCGTCGCCGCCGACGCACCGGTGTCTCCGGAATTTTAAGCGGGTGAGTTTTCGCACTAATCCTTTTGATTAGTATGTTAAACTTGCTTAGGATTGATTAGTTTAAGTTAATTGTGCTTAGTACTAATTGATTAGGGATTAGTGATAATCTATTGGATTAATTATATTATTATTTTATTAATTTTTGGAAATTAAATAATAATATTTTATTAATTTCGGAATTAAAAATATTATTATTTTATTAATATTTTTGTGGAAATTCCGAAATTAAATTGTGTTTATTTTAGGCTTAAATTGTGATGCCTAAGCTAGAATTTGCCTTATATATTGGTTTGTATGCCAAGTTGAATTGTTTGGTTAATTTTAAGTATAGAATGTCGGGTACTTAATTAATAAACCCTGAGGTGTCGGGTTTATTTGTTAAGTTTTATGTGAGAAATATGCTGTGGATACTTGAATATAGAAGCATGCCAAGTTTGGGAATTTATTGATATGTGCATAATCACGTGTGAATATTTTAGTACATTTTTTATGTGTGGAAGTTGGATATTTCAACGTATTAGCACGGATTATGTTTGCATCGGCCATTGAAAATTATAATGATGGAACCTGAGTGTTGCTATGTGTGCATGATCACCTAAAGATTCCTTTCGTGCCCGGTTATATCGGAAAACCGTATACCGGATGACCGTCAACCTAGGGTTTGGCCGTGGCCCTAACGGGTGTCCCCAATTTGGTAATTGGAAGCCGTCGCTGGTAGCAGGGGAGACGTAGTCATTCGCGAATCGGATTCGGAATGAACCCATTTATGGGATATGCCGTCATTGTGGTCGGGTGAGACGATGCCGTGCCCGATAGGGCGGGACGATGCCCGGTTATGCCGGAAGACTGCCAACCTGAGGCGAATATCGCGGGTTGTGCCGTAGCCCCTGGTGTGGCTGTAGTAATTGGAATACGCGTGAAAAATTGTGGTAGCATTGCGCTTGATTATGGAATGAAATTGTTAGGCACGGTATAGGACGGGCCGAAGCGGTTTGACTTTATAATCAGGACACGTGTGAATGCATTGTACTTGGGAAAATTGATGTGTATTCTGATTGTATTATATGCTTATTGCATTATTATGACATACGGTGAATCATAATGTACAGGGCGTGTGCATGTGCCCGGGGCAAGGTAAGGTTGCCTGTGATTGTGTTGTGAAGTACCTGTATGTTCTATATTGAGTTGTCTGCCACCGATGTATCGTTGCATGTGTTAGGTACATCCGAGATGAGTTGACCTCCTAGTCGAGGCTTAGGTCGTGAACTCGCTGAGATTTATCTCATTCGTTGTTGTTAACCACTTTTCAGGTCATCCGAAATGAGTACACGTACCGTTCCTTGGGAACCGGCTTTTTGAGGGAGAACACCTTTTGAGGTTATCCTCGTAGATAGAGGAGCTAGGTTAACCCCTACCTGTTCTGGTTGTAATCGGGAAGGTTCGCGTGGCGGACTTGTAATATATTAACCCGATGTATTGCTCATGATGTTGTTTAAATTGAGGTGTGTTTTCCTTACTATCCCGTTTATTGATTGTTGTTGGGTGAATTAAGTTCGCTTCCGCATGCGTTTAATAGATAATGATTCGATTGGGTCGGCGACGTGTCCTGGGACGTTGCATTTATAACGACCGTGGTGGGATGTTAGGGCGCTCGAGAGTCGGGGCGTGACATCCCTGTTTAAGTGGTATCAGAGTCAGGTTAGCTCGATCCAAGTTTGGTCGATACCTGGAGTGATAAGGTGCGATGAGTTTTGGGATAGTTAGTTAGGAAAACGTCTTGTGCCTGTGCATGATTACTTGATTTTATCGTTAGAAGCGGGTTGCTCATGACTTCTAATTCCTTGTTGGAATTGGAAAATAGGTTTCTGTGAGAATCCTGCGAGATGAGCAATCCTGAGCAAAGGACTCCTAGGAGAAAGGCAGCTCTAAATCAAATTGGTACTGGAGGAAGGGCTCAAGAGGATCCCTGGTTAGATAGGATTATGCAAGCCCTAGAGACTTTGGTAGGGCAACGAGCTCGGACCAGCTGCCGCACCGCTCGTTCTGCCGCCGCCGCACTTTGTTGATGTCCCGTTAGGCTGGGATCGGGATTGGGATCGACCAATGCACAAGCTGGTCGAACAATTTCTGAAGCTAAAGCCGCCGAAGTTCTCTGGCGTAGGTGATCCAGAAGCAGCAACTCTCTGGGTTAGAGAATTGGAAAAAGGTTTCGCCTTACTCAGGTGTTCTGAAGAAGAAAAGGTGACGTTAGCGGTTTACCAACTGCAGGGTAACGCTAGCACTTGGTGGGAAGCCACTCAAAGAAGAGTCTTTCCTGAAGGTACGGTTCCAGGGTGGAATGCCTTCGTGGAATTGTTTAACGGGAAATACTTCTCAGACTGCGCAAGAGAGCGGAAGATGGCTGAGTTCCAACAACTTCATCAGAATCATCTGTCAGTTGATCAGTACGAGGCGAGGTTAGCCGAGCTGTCAAAGTATGCCCCGAGATTAGTCGAAGAACCGATCGATAAAGCAAGGAGATTCCGAGATGGTCTGAAACCAGAAATCAAGGATCAACTAGTGCCCTTGAACCTGAAGAATTATGATGAATTGTATGAACGAGCTCAGCTGATTGAGAGGAACATGACAGAACGTACAGCCGCATCTGGATCGCGGTTTGTACCTAATCGGGATAATCGTCGGTTCGGGAAGGGACCGATGACTGGAGGAAGGTATCCTATTCCACCCAACAAGAAGAGTGGCGTTGGGAAACCGGCATACAACTCCAATGCCGCGTGTCGATTTTGTGGGAAAAGGCATGGGAACGGCCCTTGCCCAAACAAGACAGTGACAGTGACGTGCTTTAACTGCGGCCAACAAGGCCATTATTCGAGGAACTGTCCCCGTCAGAGGATGCCATCTCAACAAACCCAAGTGGGGCAACAAGCTAGCAATGCTCCGCAAAATCACCTAAATCGGCCACAGGCGTAGGGAAGAGTATATGCTATGGCCAGAAAGGAGGCGGAAGATTCGCCTGGTATGGTCACAGGTACGGTCTCTCTTCAAGATTATGCTGCATATGCACTATTTGACCCGGGAGCTTCGCATTCATTCATCTCTGAACAATTTGTCAAATTAGTGGGGCTTAAACCGAAACCTTTGGATGTAGTTCTTCGTGTTACCACTCCATTAAAAGAGGAAATGTTAGTTACAGTAGGATGTCCAGACTGTAAAATAGTTATTTGTGGTAGAGAGGAATTGATAGATTTACCGGTCATAGCGATGTATGACTTTGATGTCATAATCGGAATGAATTGGCTCACTAAGCAACGAGCTATAATGGATTGTTACCGTAAGGTAATTCAGTTAAATCCATTGAATCGTACCAGTTACGAGTTTGTGGGAAGCAGAGGAGGAACCTCGATCCCTTTGATTTCGTCGATTGAGGTAACTAGGCTATTGGATGATGGATGCCAAGGTTATCTAGCGACCGTAGTTAATTCATTGGTTGAGGAACCAAGAATGGAGGACATAGCTGTGGTGCGTGATTTTTCAGATGTCTTTCCGAAGGAATTACCGGGATTACCACCTGAAAGAGAGATAGAATTTATAATCGAGTTGGCCCCTGGGACAGAGCCAATTTCTAGAGCGCCTTACAGAATGGCATTATCAGAACTGAAGGAATTGAAGGTACATATGCAAGAGTTGCTGGATAAAGGATTCATTCGCCCTAGTGCATCACCTTGGGGAGCACCTGTATTATTCGTGAGGAAGAAAGATGGTTCGTTACGTTTGTGTATCGACTATCGACAGTTGAATCAGGTGACCATCAAGAACAAATATCCGTTGCCAAGGATAGATGACCTATTCGATCAACTGCATGGGGCGTCGGTATTTTCCAAGATAGACTTGAGGGCAGGCTATCATCAATTGAGAATTAAGAAGGAGGATATACCGAAGACAGCATTTCGGACTCGGTACGGTCATTACGAGTTTACGGTGATGCCGTTTGGATTGACTAATGCCCCAGCTGCTTTTATGGACTTAATGAACAGGGCGTTCAAAGCATATTTGGATCAATTTGTCATAGTATTCATTGACGACATACTGGTGTATTCAAAGAGCCCTGAGGAGCATGAGCAACACTTGAGGATGATTTTACTAACCTTAAGAGAACACGCACTTTACGCCAAGTTTAGTAAGTGTGAGTTCTGGCTCAGTCGAGTAGCTTTTCTCGGTCATGTGATCTCTGGTGAAGGAATCTCTGTGGATCCAACAAAGATTGAGGCAGTTATGAACCGGCCAAGACCGACAACGGTAACGGAGATTAGGAGTTTTCTAGGTTTGGCCGGCTACTACAGACGATTCGTAGAAAGGTTCTCTGCGATCGCTACTCCTATGACACATCTACTGAAGAAGGAAGCAAAGTTCGAATGGACGGATAAGTATGAGAGGAGTTTTCAAGAACTCAAGCACAAGTTAACTACCGCTCCAGTGCTGACGATACCATTCGGTCCTGGAGGGTATGAGATTTATAGTGATGCGTCACTTAAAGGATTAGGATGCGTTTTAATGCAACATGGAAAAGTAATTGCATACGCATCCCGACAGTTAAAGCCACATGAGTTAAACTACCCGACTCATGACTTAGAGCTAGCGGCGATCATTTTTGCCCTAAAGATTTGGAGACATTATTTATACGGCGAAAAGTTTCAGATTTACACGGATCATCAAAGTTTGAAGTACTTATTTTCTCAGAAGGAATTGAATATGAGACAGCGCCGATGGATGGAACTTCTCAAGGATTATGACTGCGACATCCTGTATCATCCAGGAAAGGCTAACAAAGTAGCGGATGCGCTTAGTCGAAAGTCTGCCATCGCGCACCTGATGATTAAGGAATGGACTCTACTTGAGAGAGTACGAGATTCGGAGTTCAAGTTTGAAGTGAGTCACCTTTCAAGTCTGTTGGCTACCTTAAGAATCGAGCCAGAGGTTCAGGCTAAGATTAAAGCGTTGCAGTTAACGGATCCTGAAATTCAGAAGATTCTGCAAGGGGATGCAGATAAAAGAAAACCTGATTTTCAGGTGACTGAGGATGGAACTTTAAGGTTTCGCGGACGACTGTGCGTACCCGACAGCATGGAACTCAAAGATGAGATCCTATCAGAAGCACATCGCAGCAAGTACAGCATTCATCCGGGTAGCACCAAGATGTATCAAAATCTACGTCAACACTATTGGTGGAGTGGCATGAAAGTGGATGTAGCCAAGCACGTAGCCAGGTGCTTGACGTGTCAACAAGTGAAAGCGCAGCATTGCAAACCAGGTGGACTGCTACGACCACTTGAGATCCCGGAATGGAAATGGGAACACATCATAATGGATTTCGTGATGGGTCTACCAAGGAGTCAGAGAGGTAATGACTCTATTTGGGTCATAGTGGATAGACTGACTAAGTCTGCTCATTTCATTCATGTACGAAAGGACTTTACCATGGACAGATATGCGGAATTGTATGTACGCCATATTGTTCGCCTACATGGAGTACCGGTGACGATTACTTCGGATCGAGATCCCAAGTTCACCGCTACATTTTGGAAAAGTCTTCAAGATGCCATGGGAACGAAGCTGCAGTATAGTACAGCTTATCATCTACAGACGGATGGTCAATCCGAGAGAACGATTCAAACTCTCGAGGATATGCTGCAAGCTTGTGTTTTGGATTTCAAGGGCAGTTGGGAGGAACAACTGCATCTCGTCGAGTTCGCTTACAACAATAGCTATCAACAGAGTATTTGAATGGCACCATTTGAAGCGCTGTATGGTAGAGCCTGCAGAACTCCGATATGTTGGGATGAGGTTGGAGAAAGGAGAATAACGGGTCCAGAGTTGGTACAGCAATCGGTTGAGGCAGTTAAGGTCATCAGAGAAAGGCTTAAGACAGCTCAGAGTCGTCAGAAAAGCTACGCAGACAAACGACGAAGACCTTTGGAATTCCAAGTAGGTGATCACGTCTTCCTCAAAGTGTCACCTATGCGAGGAACTTCACGATTCGGCAAGAAAGGAAAGCTAAGCCCAAGATATGTTGGACCGTTTGAGATTTTGGAGAGGATTGGAATCTTAGCTTATCGTCTAGCTTTACCGCCGAAACTGTCTCAAGTACATGACGTCTTTCACGTATCGATATTGAGAAAGTATGAACCCGATCCGACCCACGTGCTGAATTACGAAGACATAGACGTGGACGACAAAGTGTCGTACGTGGAAAGACCGGTACGGATTGAGGATAGAAAGGAACACGTGCTACGAAACAAGACGATTCCTTTGGTTAAGGTGATTTGGCAACACCACGGAACGGAAGGAGCAACTTGGGAAAGCGAAGAAGTAATGAGGCATCAACACCCCCATCTTTTTGAATAGTATGGTTATTTGTAAATTTCGAGGACGAAATTTCTTTAAGGGGGGAAGAGTTGTGACATCCTCAAATTCGACCCTATTCGGAATGTAATGAAATGATGATTTTAATCGATGCACTATTAGTAATTCTCGCTCTGAATTGATCACTCATGAGAGACTAACCGATTAGGAAAGGCTGTTAAGGAATTAAGTACGCACGACCTGATAACTCGATCAGGGATTGACAATTCGACCATAAGGATTGACGAGGGACAATTTTGAGCCATTATAGATCGATCAAGGGATGGTTATAGAATGATTCGCCAATAGCATACAATCGGATCGCGGGTGATTCCGCTTGACCGTTGTATGTATTGCGAACGATCCTAAACCCATTGACTGATGATCGCGTACTTTGGAACTAGCGATTGATCCCTCGCAATTACATGACAATCGAGATCATCCATGGTTCGAGAAAACTTAAACGTGGTTTGATACCGAATCAACCACGGGTCGAATTCGCGTAACTCCTAAAAGCCGCCCGTTAGTTTGAGATATACTAAAGTCGCAATTGATTGATTTTTACCACGAATTAGAATCCGAATTTGGATGTCGAATCTTTGAGGATTTCAAAACAAAATTATTGGACACCGCCTCATTGATTTGCTCGTTTATCGGTTTACTCGAAATTCTCGGAAAAGGATTTAGCGGGTCGAGAATTTGAGCCCACGAGGAAGTGGGCCGGATGAAGGCACATTGGGCCTCAAGCCCAATGTGATTCGGCCACATGGGCCCAAGGCAAACCCAAGTGGCCCAATTTAGCCCATTGAACCCAATTTCAAGCCCGATTTCAATTCAAGCCCAAGTTTGAGCCCATTAGCATTTTCAAGCCCATTCATAATCCGTTTGAGCCCAAATTTGATTATACGAGCCCGTACGAAATTCTAGCTCGTATACGCGTATAAGTATTTTTATACTTTGTGAAATTACTAAAATACCCTTCTAGCTTTTATGACAAAGCAACAAAGGCATTTAAGAGAGAGAAGACTTTTGTGCATTTTTGAATGATGAAAGAAGACTTTGAAGGCTTGTCTTAAATGAGAGAAATATCTCTCTTTTGTCTCTCTTTCCCCACTCTCTCTCTCATTTCACGGCCACCCCCTCCTCTCTCTTTTCTATCTCTCTATTTTCCTCTCAATTTTCACTCTTCTTCCCCCTTTTTCTCCCTTTCTCGGCCAAACCAGCAGAACAGCCTTTGGGCTGCTGTTCTTGCTGCTTTACGCCACCACTGAACCACCAGCAGCTCGCCGTGTTCGCCTGGAGCCGCACGCCGCCCGTTCAAGCCTTTTTCCGCCGCCGGTTCAAGGCCGCCGAGCCAAAAACAGCCGTCCCAAAGCTGCTGTCCAGCCGAGACCCAGTCGTCTTTCCATGTCAATTCCGGACCGTGCAAAGCGTAGCCCTCGTCGCCGCCGACGCACCGGTGTCTCCGGAATTTTAAGCGGGTGAGTTTTCGCACTAATCCTTTTAATTAGTATGTTAAACTTGCTTAGGATTGATTAGTTTAAGTTAATTGTGCTTAGTACTAATTGATT